GGTCATAAATAAGCAAATTCTGTCTGTTAAAACACTTTCGTTTCCACACGATATCTCTACAACCATTTGAGCTATTGCAATGAAATTTTACATAACAACTCCCTGTGGCCTAAAGAAATTTTGATTTTGAGGTCAAAAGGTCAAAGTATATTGTAAATTTATACATTCTGTCTGTGTGTAACACTATCATTTCCGGGCGATATTTCAGGAAGATTTTGAGCTTATGCAATGTAATTTTATACCAAAACTCCCTAGGAAAAGTGCCCCGCCCCGTTTGTTTTATTAGTATTTATTGTATTACATATCGCTATTTTTAGCACAGGAGCATGAGGAGAGTTATTGCGTATAAAACAGGTTCTCGGCGGACTTTATGCTCTTATTACATCTATTAGAACTGTTTAATAAAGGCTAAATAAATCAAACACCATGGATTTTGTAAAATTTTGAGAATACCGAACATGAAAACATGAATTATATACATGTATGTGACTTCAGTTCTGCATATACTTCACACCGAGTAAAGCGACTCCGTGGTCTAGTGGTTATGTCTCTCGCTTCAAATGTGAGAGATAAAGGGTTGATTGATTTTTTTTTTTTTTGTTTTTAAATACTTTTTTTTTTTTTACTAAATGATAGTATTCAGCATGTGAAATGAAAAATTTACGAGGTTATAAAATCATCATTACAGTGTGATAAATATTCCATATGAAAAAATCTTCTATACACATAATAAAGAATAAGCAATCAAATCTTTATATGCATATTGACATACATGTATTTTATTTCCTTCAGTATACATGTATACATTTAATAATTCTACAAATTCAGTCGGGGGGAGCCGACTTTTTCCCTAAGCGGGGGACACGAATTCTCTGAATTAGCTTGTATTTTTTGCTATAAAAACTGTTGTGTACTTAAACCAGAAGTCTCTGTCGAGACTGAAGCTCTACTGGTTTGTACTTAAAGCAAAGGAAGAGGAAAGTACTTAAGCAGTTGGGAATTGAAACTTTTTATTATCCAAGGTAATAATGTTCATTGAAGTCAAAAACGGATATAAAGAATTATGTATCTTAGTGTAGTCTACTTGTGTGCCAAGTTATATTGAAATCAGACCAAAACTGTAGGAGGAGTAGCATCTTGAAAGAATTTCACAGAAATTTCTATTTTTAGTAACAACGCCAACACCGTTCGTCGAAATCAAAAACTGATAAACAGAATTATGTATCTTAGTGTAGTCTACTTGTGTGCCAAGTTATATTGAAATCAGACCAAAACTGTAGGAGGAGTAGCATTTTGAAAGAATCTCACAGAAATTTCTATTTTTAGTAACAACGCCAACACCGTTCGTCGAAATCAAAATCCGATACACAGAATTATGTATCTTAGTGTAGTCTACTTATATGCCAAGTTATATTGAAATCAGATCAAAACTGTAGGAGGAGTAGCATTTTGAAAGAATCTCATAGAAATTTCTATTTTTAGTAACAATGCCAACACCGTTTGTCGAAATCAAAAACTGATACACAGAACTATGTATCTTAGTGTAGTTTACTTGTGTGCCAAGTTATACTGAAATCAGACTAAAACTGTAGGAGGAGTAGCATTTTGAAAGAATTTTACAGAAATTTCTATTTTTAGTAACAACGCCAACACCGTTCGTCGAAATCAAAATCCGATACACAGAATTACGTATCTTAGTGTTGTCTACTTATATGCCAAATTATATTGAAATCAGATCAAAACTGTAGGAGGAGTAGCATTTTGAAAAATTGTTTACAGACAGACAGACGGACAGACGGACGGACGCCGGACGCATTACTATCGCATAAGCTCTTCTGGTCTCTGACCAGTAGAGCTAAAAAGTGGGCGTCTTATTTTAGCGGCTTTGGAGCAAACAATGATGCCCTAATTCATAAAATCATTTATTAATACAATTATACATGGCACGGAAACAAGAAGTGCTAATTCATGATTACACCAACAACTTCATATTGAATGTCATCAATTGCGCTAAATTTTGAATACGTCAAGTTATATATATTGTATATTATTTATCATGTATAAAATCAATTTGCTACCTTTCAGGGGTCAAAGTTGCAAAAATTACCAACTGTAGAAAATACCCATTAAAATGATATATCCTTTAATACAAAGAAAAATTATATGCCTATTGTACAATTACATGTATTTTATGAGAGACTATGTTGTTTTTTTCCATTCGTATAATGAAGTTTGATTAATGACTAATCATTACACCTTATGACCTAGCTCTCCAATCCTGTTTGGATTACAAGAATTATTCCAACCAATGTTGAAACACAGAGAGCAATAGGCATCCTACATCTCAATTGCTACACTTCTAAACATAAAATTAGACCAGAAGAAAAAAACATACACAAGTGATCTAACATAGCTTTAAGTGACTACCACTTAGGATAGAAGTGTTCAGTAAAGATTCCATCAATTTTTGTGTGACCATCCTTTTCCTACAGACAGATGCTAAATATTTTTCTGCCTTCATTTTTCCATCAATTTTTCATAAATATGTGCATCAACTGTTTATATTTCTTGCAATACCACACCTTTTGGTTTGACTGCATCTGCCGAGTGTAAAATTACACAGCATCCTGAAACAACAAATGAAAACTTGTTCTGTTGTATATAAGTCAATTAATAGACTTCAAAACCAATATGACTTCTACCTGCACAATGTTCTTGAAACATTAGACTCCTGTGCCTTTGAAAATGAAATATCGATCATTACAAAAACAGAAATGATTTTAGAAAAGAAATGAGGCCATTACTCAGGCCAATGGTTAAGGTTCATCAAATATCCAACAGCTAGGACTCTAATTGGTCAATTTGCTGCAGACTTGTGTTAATTAATGTCCAATCAGAAAATCCATAACAAAATGACAAGTTTCTGTTTTTGAGGTTCATTGTCCAAGCTTTGTACTGCAATTATAAAGTACCCCAATGGGGGGTCCATGAAACTGACGTCAGATCAGCAAATTAATAAACATTTCTGGGGATGCATCTGCCCTCTGTGAACCATGAAATCAACAACTGAAGATAGTGGTCTAGATTTTAGAAAACGATAAATATCATAGACTTTGATCCTAAGTCTAATATACAATCTATTTCATTTTTTAAAATTAATGCACCACTCCTAAGCAATACTTCTAATGAGTAAAATGTTTTAAAATTATATTGAATAGGATAGTCTTTTATTACATTTATACATTGGAAAGAAGTCCATTACTCACAGATATCATGAATAATTTCTCGAAGAAAATTTGATAATAGGAAATAACTTGGAGAAGTAGTTTCTGAAGATTATTTGTTTTATTTCATTTTGTGAATACTTTTCAAATTATAGTGCACTACCAGCATGGATGCTGCAATTAAGTTATGGGGGTGGGTATAATGACTTTTATTTGTAGATTGTTTGTGGTCAATGGGAAAGCAAAGTGTCCATAAGCCCCTAAATTTTTAATGCTTTATGTAAGAAATCTAGAAAATATGAACATTTTTATGCCTAGTTATTGCTATAAATTGCAAGATTTCTATTTGATAAGACATTAGCCAGTGACTCGAATGCAACAAGAATTTTTTTTAATAGTTCATTTCAATATTCAAACACATGCACATTTAATTGATGTTCCAACCAATTACAATCATCAGTGGATCTGAGTTATCTTTCCTTGCAATTTCATTATGACTTGTGTACTTCCAATGAAATAGATGTCTTACTTTAAAAAATAAAAAAAAAATGTTTTTTTTATTTTCTCATATATTCCTGCATGTCAATTAAAAAATGTGAGCATCCTATTCTCTTCTACAAGATTTTTGTTTGTGTGTCTGTTTGTATGGACGGGAGTGTATAAATAGGCTATTATTTTCAATCAAACATTGATAACCAAGAAAGCAGAAGAAGAGGTTGAAATCTGAAGTTCACAGACCTTTCTTCATTTTATTAGTATTACTTTTTAAACCTGTTAATTGAACCAAAAACGCTCTGATTTAATCATTTAGCTTAGAAATTATGCTACAATATTAATAGATTGACAAGAGATAATAATATATATATACATATACCAGGTATATATATTTTATTTTTTAAAGAGTGACCATTATTAGCCCTAGTTGAACTTCCATATCTCAAACACCCATATCTCAAATACCATGGATATAAAGAAGAGATTTTGAAGCCCCAGCCCCATATTCCAAACATATTTTTACCCTGGATATCTTGAATCCTGAATATCTCCAGTATTTTCTTGGACCCTTTGAGTTATTGAGGTTTGACTGTATATTTCATTTTAATATCCCTCCTACAAAATCAAGTACTTGAAGATCTAATACAAAATAGATGACTCTTCACTTGATTTTTACATGTCAAAAATCTTAAAAAGAATTTTAAAAAAAATGGGAAAAAATATGACATTTGCTTTGAACAATGCATATCAGAGATTTTGAATTGTGTCCTTATATGACCCCTCTTCATCATGTAAACTGAAACTGATATGCCCAAATATTAACAAAGAAGCTGTACAACTATGTCAATCATTTGCGGCATTACCGGTATTTTCCACAGAAAGTAATACAAAGTGGAGTTTAAAATTATTTTATCCCCTGGTGGTTCATGGACCAGTTTTTTTTTACTCCCATTGACTAACTGGAAACATAATCCTTCTTAATTCATTACATATAAGACTTGGCATTTTTCCAGATTATGTATAATCTGTTTTTCTTAACTAATTTTATATCTGAAATACTAGGGCAGTTAATAAAGATTAACAGAGCACCTTGAAGACTTTTCTTGAGAACAATAAGTCAATAACGTACTATAACTGCTTTTCCTATTCATAATCTAACAAGCCAACCAAACATCAGAGAAATATCTTAACTAGCCAATCAAATTATCAGAAGCAACAAAGAGGCTGCTAGGCTCCACCCACTTCTGATACTGACTCTTAAGATGGCTAATTGATCTGCAGATCATCTCTATACTAACTTATATATCAACCCGTGAACTGGCTTCTAAATTCATTACAATAGAAGTATGTTGCAGAATAAAGTGAATACACAGTGATTTTGAATACAGCTATACACATTTTAAACAGGAATTGAATACTTATAGCAGAAAATTTTAACCTCTTAAAAGGTAAGGTTTTAAACTTAAAACTTCTGAAATGAATCCAAAACTGCAAGAACTACAACATTATATATTCTTTCCATGATTTAAAAAAACAAACTTTATTAAATATCAATGATCTTAACAAAATAGAAACTTGATGTAATAAATCAAAGATTTTTATCCCCAAACCATAACTTTTGTACAGCCAAGAGGCAAGTATAAATTGCATTTGCACCAAAGGAACTTTAAAATGATATGTGATGGAGTTAAAGAGCTTGCATTCTGGCAATAATTGCTTAACAGTCTGTCATAATTTAAAATAAAATCAAAGGAAGTGGTGCATGACTCTGTATAAGAAGCACACGACAGAAAACTATGGAATTACTGCAGTAATTGTAAATTAAAAGCACCAGCATCTTGTTGAAGTGATAGATGTTAGAGAGAAATTATACCTAGACAGCCTGCTGCAAAAATAAGTTAAACAGTATGCATATCTGATAATTGGAGTAAAATCATAAGAAGGAAAGGGATCAAAAAGATTATTTCATACAAGAGCTTGGTTGAAATCCTGGATAAAAAAATATTTCTTCCAAGCTTAACTGCTTTAAAATTTAATGAAACTTCATCAATGTCTCAATCTGAGGATCTCTATAGAGAGTTAATAACAGTTTATTTATCGGAACCACAATCAGTAACTAGGCATGGCCACGTAAACTAATTACTTGCCTTGTTTAATCAATTGACCAAGCAATCAGCTATCTGGTATTTATTTCCCAATATCCATACAGTATCATGAGTGATGTGCAAAATAATAATCACCCTGCTTCTATTAATTCATATTTTTATGTGTAAACATAGTTTTACAAATTCAGATTCTCCATGGGGAGGACAAAATAAATTGATGATTAACTTAATTGCTTTCATTGGATTTGATCAAATATTTGTCATCCTTTAATATACATTTATTGCAAAAATTCAAATGATGCATGCAGGGAAAAACTAATTAAAAGGGAGTACGTGCATCAATCTTAAGAAGTAGTCCTCCATTAGATTGGGGGATAAACTTATACAGATCATTATCATCAAGAATTTCTTCAGTTGATTGTTCTGTAGAACTGTAATGTTTATTTTTATGCTGGACAGTGCATCTTCAAATTCAGCCACAAACCAATGTGCCCTGGTCATTTGAATATATTAAGGAACAATTACGAAATCTTTTACTGAATGGAATATATATCATACAAAGATCTCAGAAGTCTTCTTCATTATCCTGCAAGGTATATTCTGAGCCAACTTTCCCCTGCACAAGACCACTATACAAGATATTGAAAAAAAGCTAAATGTCAGACAAACTTCAAATGGATAAAGATAACAGTTTTATGAGGTTGCAAACCTTTCAGAGACTTCTAGGAGGAACAATAAAATCTAAAGTATCTGCAAAGCTTTTTTATGAAATGGAATGTAAAAGACTTAGTTCTAGAACAATAACTTGAAACATGAGAACATAGAAGATAGGATTTGCTGATGCTAATCGCATCAGATGGCACTTATTTCTTTACGTCAATAATTACCAGATAGATTTGGGATATATCGAACAATATTGACCATTTCTTCAGCTTCACAAAAATTATTTTTTTCTTTTTTCTTGAAGTCCACATAACTAAACATAATGTCCATGGTCAGTACATGTTCATTAACTTCCAGAGAAACAAAAGGCTTAATTAAAAGAGAGCTGTGCTTTATAGTTCACATATGTTGAACACTGGCCAGCATTTAATTAATGAATGGATGTATCAGAATACAGCACTTTGTATATCTGTAAATTGTATCTAAGAAATAGGTGGTGGGCCCTTGTTGTGGTGGCCAACCCCTGGCAGCCAATTATGAACTCCCAGCAAGTGGCAACTTTACTGCTTATCTTAATAGCTTGGGTCATTTAAGGACAAGATGTTCTATGCAAATCTTTATCTATTTCTTGATAAACATCTGTCTTGTTTTTAATCTTATAGACCCTTGTCTTAATTACTGAAACCAATGTTTAAGAAAAGAAAATTAAGTTTATTGAAAACATTAATTGACCTTTAAAGAGCAGGAAAATGTATTTATCAGAAAAAGTTGCATAACTAAAAAGTAATCTTGTCGCTCTGTTTGATATTTCGAAATTGGGTTAAACATAAAAAGATCAAAATGTTGAAGAGTGCAGGAAATATTACCAATTCTGTTCTGAACAATTCTTGAAGAAAAAGAAAAAAAAGCAAACCTTTTTTCTTCTCCCTTCCCCCCTTTTAAAAAAAATTCAACTGACAAATAGGATTCTGCATGAACAGCAAATAATGTGGTATCAATAAAGGTGCACCAATACAGCTTAAAATGCTACATTTCTTAAGCATGACTTTGAAAGATTATAATAAATGAATATCCACCATAAATCCTTAAATGACAACCTTATTAGACAAGATTGCATGATCTAGTCTATGCATACTTCAAATAATACATTCCTTTTTATTTTGTCACTTGCAGGTGCTTATCTGATTTACCATTTGTACTAGATCTGCTTTGTGTCTGTGGCAAATGTTGAAATCTGAGACTGCCAAATAATTTTTATCCAATTTTAGGTGAAAAAACATGTAGCACTTTTTTTCTTTGACATTGAAATAGACCACGGTTCCTTATCATGTTACTTTAAATCTCAGTTAAAATCATAAACAAAACATTTACACAAATACATTTAATAATCCTGGAGCAATAGCTTATAGACCCTCATTCAAACACTAAATGCATGCAGTTTGGTTTACTGTTTCAAAATTCAGGTAAATATACGTATATACATGTACTGCACTTGGTTATTCTTTCAGCAAACATTTACAATTCTCTAACATTTTTTTCTATTTTAAAACATGTTATAAGTACCAATAGGTATTATAGACTGGACAAACTCTTTAGAACGTACAACAAAGTGAAATAACATGGCAAAATCAATGTTAGCTGCTTGAAAACAAACACTTGACTGATGATTGAAATTTTCTAACTACTTTCTTTTTTTGTACCTCTTTTGCCTTCTCTAATTTACCAATAAAATTTTCTAATGGATATATTTGTCAAAGGGTACCTTGGTTCAATACTTAATTGCAGAATGTTTGATTTTTTTCCCCTTCAGGAAAAAAAAAATTCCTCCTCATATTAAGATCTTAAATGGGAATCTAATACAGGAGTTAGTTTTTGTATTAATTTGCTTTAATTCTCTCTAGAAGTTGTCAAGAGCAATTGATTTCCTGAAATTATTGAGAGTATCATAATAACTTCCTCTCCTTTAGAAAGTCCTCAGAAAATCCATCGACTGCTCACAATCACCAAGCTTTTCCTCGGGCTGGTAATATGTCATCCAATACCGTTTTCCCAGTATAAGCACTCAGTAGCTCATGACAAAATGTTTTGGAGGTAAATGAAGTAATATGTTCTATTTTAAAACCCCTTTTCCTATACTCTCCATTCAAGAAAAAAATAAATCTACGTGACCAGGAATAAAGTTGCTCTTAATCTTTGAAAAACTTTAAAAATGTTTAGACTAAATGTATGGTGTATAGATTTATATATATATTGACTTTTTATTTACATATATGAAAAACATAATACATAAACAAGCAAATTATTATTACAATGAAACCACCATTGAAGATTTTGAGCTCTAATTATCATGCATTAACAAAATAATACTAACTATAAATATGTCTAATCTTCTTATAAGCTTTCTGTTTTCAATTTCTGTGACCGTCATAGTTATATTATCAATAAGTTTCATATACATGTTATAAGCTGCTTTTGACATTCTATCTTGATCAATCATTGCGGTTTCTATCATGTTTTAGAAGCATATGATTTTTACTGTGCACCAGAATAAACCCCCCAGTTCCTATATTCAGAAACCCACCTACATATTCCAGTAGCATTTTTAGTGCAATTCTACTTATGGTGTCAATTCCAATTTACTTCACTCAAAGCATGCAAACTTGTGCAAGCTACCTCATTTTGAATGGGACATTTTCAAATATTAAACACATGAATAGATGTTTATTTTCATAGGGAGGAAAATTAAGCAAAATCTCTCTAAATAGTGCTTAGCTGTTTTGATTGAAGCAAAATTTCAGTCAATGAATCATAATGAAGTTAATCCATTTTCTTGGAAGTAAATCAGAACTGAATGTCCTTCAATTTATTTTTTTAACCTATACAATTGACTCTATAAAAATCTCACGTAGTAGGACTTAAAGCCTTGCTGATTCAGGATTTGTAAAGACAAATACCATAGGTGAATGATGTCAGTTACAAATTTCTTTATTTCTTAATGATCTGATCACAATCAAATCCTTTGCAGTGACGTCCTTCCAACCCCAACTATACATTCACAACCTGTATTCCAGAACTTCGTGAAAAATATATTTTAAAATTTATAATTTTGTGCTTATCTGTATAGACCACATTAAAATACATGTAGTACATGTTACAGAAAAAAAAATCCTCATTTTGTAGCAATTTTCAGAATATTAACCTTCAAACATGCTACCCAAAGAGGTTTCCAACACAATAGTGAATTATTACGATCTGGCAGAAGCAGACACATTATACTTTAGAAATGTGCTACTTAACACTAGATTTCATTGCAATTGTTATTCAAGATCCATATCAAGCCTCATCTTCAGTTTCTATTTAGGATCAAAAGGTCTTACACCTACCACCTTAAACAACGCATTGATAGCCATCTTTGATGTACATTATTGAAGCTGTAACTTAAAGACTTACACATGCTATCACAAGAGGACTTAAGTTATGCTACCTGAATAGCTATTGACAGCACTCCTCGTCAAGATTAATTATCTATTCTTTCCTTCTCCATTTCTAATCTAATTACTTGGATAGTTTTTTGACCCTCTCAAAACAATTTGTGTTGAAAATCTGTGACCCATTTCAAACTCTGCAGCAATTAAGAGTAATTAGATGTCTTCCTTTGGCATACTATAGACTGAAATATTTATACAATGTGAAACAAGACATATTACCGCTGATGGCAGGTGCTTGCCAAAGATACAAGTTGTTTAGAATTATATAACTATTCTCAGAGATTTTTTCCCCATTTCACAATTTCAAAGCCCATGTGGCCACCTAAAATCACAAATGCCAAATATTAGTACTAAAAAGAGAAGAAAAAATTACAGAAGAAAATGAAAAAGAAAAGAAAAATATTGATATAAAAAATCAAACAAGGTTCAGCAATATGTTTCCATCACCTAGCTTTACCATAAATTTAATCCTGAGGTCAAAGTGTTTCTTTTCACCATTCTGTGCAATAATATGATTTGCAATGCACCACAAGGTACTTTCATTCAGAAGGGAATTTTTCAGGAAAAATTTCTAGGCCATTGAAATAGAAAATGTTACAAAGGTTAAAGGAACATGATGCTCACCTGCGTAACAATATCTCTTCCTCCGTCTTTGCAAAACAAGTATGAATTGAAAAATCATTTTTGTATCTTCATCTCAAAAAAAAATGAAGGCCCATGAGCCAAAAAAGCTCACCTGAGACACTTAGGCCCTGCTGTTAATGCATCAGTTTTTTCCAAATATATATGTATTCATGTGCAAAATTTTTTCACCATTTGTGGCCCCAATATGTGGAAACACTTGGGTCAAGTTTTAAACAAAATTGATCCCATCCTTAATAGTTGATTTATTTATTGTTCTTACTAACATTGCCAGTATCTGAAGGATCATATGCTTAAAAACATCTTGCAAGTATTAAATAAAATTGACTATTTTTAAAATTTCTTTTGCAGGATCACAAATTCACTGAGGAAATGTAACCAAATTTGTCATCTACATCGGGTATTCCCTAACCAGAGAAGAAGGAAAAAATAGACCCCAAAAAATGGCCAACAACACATTGTCGTCCATCATTGGTATGGTGAATGAGACAGTCCCAGAATATGCCATTGCTGGAAATGACACAATGACCAATATGACCACTACATTAGCTACGCCATCTGGTGAACGGGCGTACAAGATAGTGGCACTTGTTATCTATACTTACTTAGGACCTACAATATGTGCAATAGGAATGCTATTCAACATCATAAACTTTGCTGTTCTAATGCAACACCAACTAAAGGAATCCCCATACACATATCTCACAGGACTAGCTATGGTTGATTTTTCTGCATTGACTCTTTCCTTCATCTATATGGTCATCTCCCACAAAACACCTGGTGTGGAATTCTGGAGATATTTTGAAGCTTATATTTTCCTCCCATTTGTGAATGTATGTACAACTTCTAGTGTGTGGATAATAGTCCTGCTGACAATAGAACGGTTCCTCTTTGTCAGACACCCACTCTGGGCCAAAGCTAAGTGTGACCGAGCAAGTGCTAAAGTCAAGAACCTTGCCATAGTCGGAATGGCTCTGGTGTTCAACATCCCTCGATTCTTGGTTTTCGAAGTTGTCGAGAGTTCACCTGGATTCTGGAAGATTGAGCATACACCTTTTCGCAAGAGTAAGACCTTTTTAGGAATTAACTGGGTGTACAGTATCACTGTTCAAATTATCCCTCTGACCATTCTCCTGTTTGCCAATACATATCTTGTGTATGCTGTTATGCGAGCTCGTAAGCAGAGAGAAGAGCTTCAAATTCGCAATAACAAGGAGGCAACATGGTATCGTGATCAAGTCCGCCTTACCATCACATTAATCAGCATTGTATGTCTATTTATAATCTGTATTTTACCCTCCGCATTCTCAGATTTTCCTATCGCATACTTTTTCTTTGGAGGAGGAAAATCAGAGCTTGAGTTTCGCACATCCGATTTTTACCTCATTCTCCAATACGTAGCTAACCTCTTGGTGTGGTGCAACCTCTCTCTGAATTTTGTTCTGTACTGCTCCTTCAATGAAAAGTTCCGCAGAGTGATGCGTCACATGGTCAAGAGGTGGCTGGAGCTGAGCTGTATCAAGCAATCGTACAGACCCTTCAAAGTCAGCTTTAACATCAATGGCATTACCAGGCACAACAGCAGCCAGACAAATAGCTTAACACAACAAACCAAATGTTCCATGAGCATGGGGCCACATGAAATTCTCAAACTAGAAAAGGCAGATTACTCTGCAAGCCAGACCACAGCACTGTTTGACAAAAGTGACGCTGATAACTAAAGTTGATAGTGAATACATAAACTAATCAAGTCTCTTGTTGGCTTATAAGTACAAGAGTCAGAATCAAACAATGTTTAATGTCACTGCTTAAGTTGTTGCATTGACTTTTTTCTTTAAAATCAAGCTCTAGTAATGCTTGTGCTCTTTTATCACTTTATTCAGGGAAATTGAACTGCTTCACAAAGTTTCAAAATATCCTATGTAAATTATGAATATGTATATATCTATTTATTTGACAATATAAGATTTACAAATAACAATCAAAAGGGACTATATTTCAGTAAATAGGGCATTTATTTACCCACTATCTAAATCAACATACTACTCACTGTACAGTTTATAAATATATATATATATTACAAGTATGTTTTTTGTCATTCATGTGATATCTTATTAAATTTTGTTTTCTGTATCAAATGCACAAATAATCACACAGAATTTACTGTTTGCATATTAAATTTGTCTCATGTAGTTTTTAAAATACTTTTCAAACAATATTTGATATGTACATGTATATGTACCATTCTTAGGTACAAAGTTTAGATTTTGAAAACCACTAGAATATTTTCCATTGCATTTATATATATACTACAAGATTATTATTAGATTAATTTAAATATTTGATTGAAAAAACGGTAATGGCTCTGCATATATTTATGATTGTGCTAAATACTAGTAGTGCCCATGCAACCGTACTATTTAAAGTTCCTGCAATAAGTACACAGACAGCATTCATTTATACTCTAGCTGCTTTGAATTCAACAATTTTCTTTGCCATCCACTGAAAATTTCTTTTTATAAAATTCAGTTTATTTAAGCGATAACATAACTGCATGACAACAATTCAAGCTTGTTACAGATTGCCAACTTCCATGCAGGTAAAAGCACCATCCATTATATCTTCAGTTATTTTTTGTGAGAAATTTAACAGTTAATATATATGGAGTGCTCCACTGAATTTTTGTAAGAATGTATTAAGCATTAATTGAAATTTCAAACTGTTGTCAAATGTACCCTTTAATACTATTTTTAATTTATGAGCCCAATATTTGATGAGAATTCTGATTTCGAAATCAATGTACATTCATATTCTATAATTGCTATCATCAACATACACTTCTTTATGAATAATCAAGTTTTTTTGTGATTAATATATGTGCTCTTATTGTTACTTTGTTGTGAAAATTTATATGTATATCCCGGTATGTCAAAATGAATAAAAAAAATATCCTTGTTATCAATCAATGTGTTAATTTTTACCAAATCTAGTCAAAAGTATTCATATGTATAAACAAACTGATATGTCAAAAGTCCAATTCGATCATGTTCACCAATAATACTACCAGAGCTGTTATATATATCTATTAACAAAAAGACTCAGAGAGTAAAGAATTAGCATCAACACCAAAATATATGTTATACAATATTTTCATTTCCAATGTCTTTGCCCTAGATAAAAGTACAAATAGTTAATGTACTATATTTCTGCATAAATGTACTGGTTCATCAATAGGCGTGGTTAAAAAAATCACGTGCTGGGCGGGACAAATAGAGAGACAGAAGCAGGGCTTGTAGCACATGGATTGGCGGTATCAAGAGCATGTAAATATAAGGAATGTCTTATTTCTTGATTTGACGACGATGATCAATCTATTAATTGGCTTGCGTGATAATTTTATTGCAAATTATAAAATTAAAAATAAATCCATTCATGAACATCAAGAATATTATTTGACAATTCACCATATGTCAGTTATGTATATAGAAGCACTATTTTTTCTGGAGCATAGTGTACCATAAAGTCATCAAATAAGAAATGTCAAAAGCAGCCAATGGACAAAAGCAGCCAATATAAGGAGGGGATTGAAGTGCAGTGACTGATAATGCCCCAGTCAACAGAATCAGACCTGGATTGAGAGCTTGTTAAATATAAACACTTTATTTATACAGAACTTCCAATCCCTTATCTTAGTAAATCCCATCTCTGGGCTGCAAATGCACAAAGACCAGACATCATTTTCTCTCCTCTGTCTTTGGCATAACAAGTAGCAACTTTATGTATACAACAGTACATGTTTGTCAATTCTACACAGAAACCTGCTTGTGACATCTAGTGACACAAGTCTCTTACAGTAATAATTCCATTATCTGTTCCTGACAGAAAGATTATATAAGAATAAATCTTGCATTAGATAACAATTGAACAGGATAATTAAATATAGCAAGGATTTATAAAAGGGATATTACTGTACAAAAATTCTATTTTAGAACCAACACCACCTCAGGAAGCTTTAAGTTTTGTTCATCTCTTCTGCCCAAGTGGTTTCTGAGAAAAGAATAAGATTCATTTGTGACGTTTTTCAGCCCTGTGCATGAATTTCTGAAAAACTGAAACTTTTTAGTTTTAGTTATAAATTAATGCACTAAATATCATTCAGACCTTTAGTGATTGCATGTCTTTCAAAAATGACGTAATTTTCTGGCTCGTCAATGCATTATGACATCACAAAATGCGTAAATTTCCCAATATTCTGAAAAAGTCTACAAAAACTGCCAAATTCTAAAGCTATTTTTCAATAGTTAATATATAGCACAACCTCTGATCTAAAAAAAGCAACTAGTAAATGATAGATCTCTTTCTATATGGATTAGAAGACACGTTCTACTTTATAGATCAGAGGGTATGCTAGCTCATATTATTTTACTTCTCTGAAAGTACTCAAATACACCTGATTACATTAAAATTCAAGAACATTGCAATTCCATAAAGCTTGTTTTTCAAGACCTAGAGTTTTAGGAGAAAATTTTTAATAGGAAGTGAAAGAACTAAGTCTCTACTTTATTTTGATGTTAAAAATAAAACAAAGTGTTGATCAATAAATTGGTATACATGTATCAAACAGGGCCATTTTATGCCCTAAGTGAACTAAGTTCTTTGTAAAGGATTTTTCTTTTAGATTTCAATATAAAACATTGATCCCATTATTGTGGCCTATCCTCCAACCTCTGAAAGTCATGATTAGAACAATTTAGAATCTACACTACCTCCAGAAGCTTTCATATATTAGTTCCATCTCTTCTTGCTCAGTGATTTGCGGGAAGATTTTTTAATAACTCCCCATACTTTTGCTTTTTCTTAATTATCTCTTTGGTTAGTACTTTGCCCCCTTCCTTAAACAATTTTATATAAAATCTTCTTCATCCAAGTATGCTTTGTACCAGCTCTAGTTAAAACTAGCTCTAGAGTTCTTTCTTTTTTTTTTTTTTGAAAAGTCAAAAATGTGAAAATTTACAGATGAATGGATGGACAGATAGACAACAGGTGATCAGAAAAGTCATGAGAATTTACAGCTCAAGTGAGCTGATTAAATTTCATTAAAATGATCACTGGATATGGTACAGAGAGATACACATGCTGATACACATCTGATGTCTGTTCCATCTGAACACCTCAATTTGACTAAGTAGATTAGTTATACCCTAATGTCATTCCCCTACTAGAGGAAAGTGACCTACCATAGTGCACTTGTTGCAATTATTAAATTCTGATCAAGCTCAAATTATCTTTTGAGGACTCAGATCTAATCACAGAAACTAATTTGCTAAGAAAGATATATGAGGCATATAGGTAGATTACTAGGGACAAGTTGTCAACATTATTTCCAAATGCTAAGGGAATTAATCAAAGGTTTTAATGCCACTTTTTAAAAATATATTTTCCCATTTGTAAGCAATTGCTTTCAAACCATTTTCTTTTACATATTTATACTTCTGTTTATCTCCTCTGTACAGAAGGCTTATGGTGGGTGTGATGGCTCAACAGTGGATGCTTGTTTCTCCAAGGCACCTGATCCCACCTCTGGTATAAGCAAAGCTCTGTTTTTGCCCCGTTTTAGGATTCCAATTCCTGTTATTATACTACAAAAATTGAACCTGGACCCAATGATTATGAAGTGAGCCCCTGACCACTATAGTCTGCTCTGATCTATACTTAGATAAATGGGGAAGAGGATTACACGAGAATATCTTGCATGCCAAATGTTTTTTAAATATTATATGACTCATCTCTTGAAAAGTTCAGTAAAATTTTCACAACAGTAATTTACCATTTCAGAATAGCAACCCCCCCCCCCCCAGTCATTTCTTATTAGGTGTATATCATTCATGTAAAACTCAGTTTCACCTGCACTTGCTTCTTTCATTTAGGGCCTATTTTAAATTTTCATGAACTTTGATACCGTATCTTTACAATATAGGAGCATGTTTCAGAGTTTTTTCTTCTTCTCAATCTGCTTTAATCAGGAAAACTATATTACATGATAAAAAACTTACTCTCTCACTCACACACATAATTAGAAGCCTGTGATATCCCTTTGCATCTTCAGTTCTATTTAATTAATCCCACAGGCTAGCTAGTACTTAAACACCTCAAAGCTTCACCATTACAGTACCGAATACAAGAACTTCAAATCAATGCTTTAATTACCATAGTAGTACATGTACCAGCCATAGAATCTTTTTTTTTAGCTAGCAAAGCATGCTATTTGGGGCTCCTATAATTATTTTCAAATATGCATAAACAGTGGACAAATACTAATAATTACAAACATTTGATTTCACTGAGAATAAAACAACTTTTTATCCTGTTATTAAGTTTAATCAAAATGGGTTCCGGCTAATGGACGTAAAATCGGGCTGCAAAGAACACATCCAGAAAAGGCATTACCAATATGTCTTTCATTCAAACTCTTTTTCTAAAATAATATTGCACTACTGATCTTAATAGAAATATTGCTTGATGAACCCCAACATAAACTGCTTTTATTTCACTTCATTTTGCAAAGCAATCATATTTCGTTATAGCCAGATAACAAAGAAGATAGCATATCTATATAACTTTCTTACAGTTACTTTTATCAACAGTACTTTATATATATACAGTAAAACCAAATTTTTAAATCTGCATATATCATGATCATGATAATTTGGCACTTTCTTGCAAAAGAAATACAGTTCTTGTCAACATTGATTGTGTAATTTGACATAATATACCTGGTCAAGTTTAGTGTGCCTGCATGGTGCTAAAGCTGTGACTGCATGTGACATTATGTGTTGTATTTCCAGCTCACTTGAATTTTTCACAAGTTAGAGGAATTATACCACTCTGAAAAAGCAGCATAATTCAAAACTTTTGAACGCCTTCTATTAAGTACAAACCTAATATTCCTGTACATTTTATTAAAATCTCTTGACATTTATTTAAATTTTCTCAAATTACATTATGATTTACAAACAGCTTTATCCAGATATCAGATATATTCAATGCACTCTTAAGGTGCAAATACTATATTCTCCTGTCACATTTCTTTTTCATATAATTCATCATTAGAATTTATTTTATTTTCCAACCATTTAAGATTTCGCTACTGAACCAATATTATATTCAATTTCTGTGTTTTTATTTAATTACGAAGATTAAGTCGACGTTTATTGTTGACAAAACTGAGATGGCACAAGTTCCAATTCATTATCAGGATTTTTAGTATCCTCAATCTACTGTATAAACAGTGCGTGCATTACCCCAAAATATGACTAAAATAGCTGCATTACCCCATACATGATATAATTAAATCATTGAAAGGCCCTGATAAATTTGGAATTCAATGAAATTACACCAAATTTTTTCCCATCAATTTGAATAGTATCAGAGATAACAATTGATTTTTCCCCTCTACTTTGACAAAATTATGCCACTTGGGACATCAACACCATTCATAGCCTTGATTATCAGGGTAGAAATTGACAGTGTTATCTTAACACACCTATGAAAGGACTGTCGTCACTATAGCATCACGATCAACGACAGTCGTATACGATGACTTACCGATTTCACTTATTAAAGCACATAAACATCACAAGTTAATATATTTTTGTGCCCAAGTTACGAAGATTTTATCTATATTTGTACCTGATCATCTTTATTTGAATATTATATATATCAGTTTCCCAGCACTCTTCATGTGCTTGCTTATCAATAGGGAAAGCAAGTGCTTTACCCTAAAATAGCCAAACAGTATCCTCTCTATTTATTGATAATCATTATAACATGAACTAAACCAGGCCAGATAAGGAAATTCTAAACCCTTACAATAACTTGTCTGATGTATTTATGATTAAAATAAAAAGAAAACCACCGTGATTTTATAAAAAATAAAAATCC